CAGAGCGCTTCCACTTCGAGGCCCTGGCGCCGGCGCACCGTCTGTCGCTGCGGGCTGGCGCGAGCGGGCCCCGGGGAGCGCCCCCGCTTGGGCCGCGCGACGCTGGCGCTGAGGGAGCTGGGCGCCCCCCCGCGCGCCCGCCGCCGGCCTGGAGCGCTGGTTCCCGCTGCTCGGGGCGCCCGCCGGCGCGGCGCTGCGGGCGCGCATCCGGGCACGGCGCCTGCGCGTGCTGCCTTCTGAGCGCTACAAGGAGCTGGCGGAGTTTCTCACTTTCCACTACGCGCGCCTGTGCGGGGCCCTGGAGCCCGAGCTGTCCGCGCAGGCCAAGGAGGAGTTGGCGGCTGCCATGGTGCGCGTGCTGCAGGCCACTGGCCGGGCGCAGGTGCGTCGCAGCGACCGGGCGGACCCGGGTGACCAGACGAAGTGGCACCTGCGAGGGGCGGACACCTTGAGGGGCGGGGTCTGAGTTTCAGCTACGAAGGGTGGGGCACCTGGAGGGGCGGGGCTTAAACTTGAGCTGCGAAGGGCGGGGCCTGAGCTGAGCCTCTGCGCTGAAAGGCTTAAATTTCTGCTGCGGGGTGGAGGTTCCCACCCGTTAGGTGCCCCAGCAGTGAGGGCCAGGCCTGAGCTATAGCTATGAGGGGCGCGACCTGTGCCCAGGTGAGAGGGACTCACCAAGAGCAGGGACTCCCCCTGGCTCAGTCTACACCCAAGCAACATGACCCCCCGCTATGCCCAGGCATTGGTGACAGACCTGGGAACTGCGGAGTTGGCACGCAGTGGAGGCCGCGAGGCGCTGCTGTTCCGGGAAAATACATTGGCCACTAAGGCCATCGATGAGTACATGAAGCTGGTGGCACAGGACTACCTCCAAGAGACGCTGGGTGAGCAACATCCCCGACGCTGGGGTTGTGGGTGGGCCTGTAGAAGCCTTCTGGCAGGACCTGGGTAACCTGGATTCTGGTCGTGGGTGATGCCTCGGAGGTGCCGGGATCCTGGAGGGAACTGGGGACGCCCCAAGAGGTTAGGTGCCTCCAAAGTAAATGGAGAAGAGTTGGAGGCTGGGTTGGTGGGTCCTGGTGGTTATGGCCCTGGCCCCTGTCTGGCTGTGCTGGACTGCAGGGCAGGTCCTGCGGCGAATCTGTGCCTCCACTGAGGACTGTGAGGTGGACCCCAGCAAGTGCCCAGCCTCAGAGCTGCCCCAGCACCAAGCCAGACTGCAAAGCAGCTGTGAGGAGGTCTTCGAGAACATCATCCACTCCTATGAGTAAGAATCAGGGTTCCAGCCCCCGAGCCTGCCCCTGCCTCCCAGCCACTGTGCTAGTTGCCAGTTAAAATGCAGGGTGCCCAGCTAAATGTGATGCAATATTTGGGACATAGTTATATTTTAAAATTACAAGTTTAACTGTGATCCTGTAGTTTTATTTGCTAACCCTGGTAACTCATCCCCAATATTTTGCCACCTAACGCCATGTAACCTGGGATACAATTCCTTGTCCTCTAACCACAGGGGACCCCATACGGTAATTCCATGCCACCTGACCCCGGTTAATATAGGACCTCAATCCTATGCCCTCTGATTTCAGGTGATGTCGTGCCCTCAATCCCATGACCCCTGGCCTTAAGTGACACTGTACCCCAAATCCTATGCAAATGATCACAGGAAACCTGGGATTCCAATTTGTTGATCTCGGACTCTAGGCTAAGCTGTATACCTAATCCCATGTCACGTGGGACATCAATACCATGATTTCTGAACCTAGGTGACCCCGTGAGCCCATTCTATTCATATCATGTACTCTGTCTGGCTAGATCTGGCTACAGGATAACAGTTATGTTATAGCTGTCCCCATGTGAACCTGTACCCCCAACTCCAAGATTACTGACTCCAGTGGTCACCACGATAACACTACCATAAATCCTGACCCCCAAGCATCATTATCCCGGATGTATCTAAATCTTGGAATCAGAACATAGGTGACTCCTAATCCCTGACCTTAGGAATTTGATCACCCATGAACTTTATGCCCATACACTCCCCCTTTGACCATTGCCTCTTCTGTCCCAGCTGGTTCCCAGCAGAGCTTGGCACCGTGTTCTCAGGCTGGCGAGAAGCATGCAAGGCACGAGGCTCCGAGGCACTGGGCCCCCGGCTGGTGTGTGCCTCTCTCTTCCTGCGGCTCCTGTGTCCCGCCATCTTGGCACCCAGCCTCTTTGGCCTGGCACCACAGCACCCGGCACCTGCCCCGGCCCGCACCCTCACATTGATTGCCAAGGTCATCCAGAACCTTGCCAACCGAGCCCCGTAGGTGCTGGAAGGCTGGGGGTGGGGGGTATGGTTCGGCCATGGGGGTGGCAGATGCCTGACCTGACCTACCCAGTTGGACCCTGACCCAGGTTTGGTGAGAAGGAAGCCTACATGGGCTTTATGAGTAGCTTCCTGGAGAATCATGGACCTGCCATGCAACGCTTCCTGGACCAAGTGGCCATGGTGGATGTGGATGCAGCACCCAGTGGTTACCAGGGCAGCAGTGACCTGGCCCTCCAGCTGGCGGTCCTGCATGCCCAGCTCTGTACCATCTTTGCTGAACTTGACCAGGTGTGTCCTGAGCCTAGAGACCAGAACATGGGGTAGGGAAGCAAGAGGGCCGGGAGCTTCTCAGCATCCTCCCTACATGCCCCCCAGGCAACCCGTGACAGCCTGGAGCCCCTGCCCACCATCCTGCAAGCCATTGAGGAAGGCCGCCCTGTACCTGTGTCTGTGCCGATGCGTCTCCCACCACCCCCAGCCCAGGTCTATTCCAGGTAACCTGCCTGCTTGCTGTCTGGTCCAGTTCTGATGGGTGGGAGCAGGGGCAGGGCCAAAGGCAAGCACAGGGTCAGATTGGAATCGGTGGGGAAGGCAGGGTTATGTGAAGGCAGGATTATGTCAGGGGTCAGAGATGGGGTCACATTGGGGTCAGTGTCCGAAAGTGTTGGATGGAGGTCAGAGGCTGAAGACGGCTTCCTCCAAGGGGTCAGGGAGAGGCCCACAGTGTAGTCCGAGGGCAGGCACAGGATCAGACTGAAGTCCAAGGAGGGAATTGGTCATTGCAGAGGTCAGGGAGAGGTCACATGTGGCATCCGAGAGAGAAAGTGACATCATGTTCAGCGATGGTCACATTTCAGTGAGAGGCTGGTGATGGGGTTAAATCAGGGGTCAGAATGTGGTCAGATGTTAAGGTATATCATCAAAGGTCAGGTTCAGGTTCATTTTGTAAGCAGAGGTCAGGGTCAGATGGGTCAAAGGTATGGGCAGAGTCATGTTTGGGGTCAGAGGTCAGGGACCATGGTCTTTCAGGAGGCAGACAGGGACAGTTTAAAGTCAGAGGTTGGGGGTAAGAGGGGATCAGTTAGGAAGGAAGAGGATACCCTTGTGAGCAGAGGTTGAGCCCAAGGTCAGATTGGAATTGATGCTACAGAGAAAGATCACACGGTGTCAGAGTCCAGGGCAGAGACGGAGGTCAGAATGTGACCTCATCAGTGACTGGGTCACATCGAAGTAAAAAGGTCATGGGTCTGGTCATTTCCAGTCAAAACTAGGGGTGGGATCAGCTCAGGGGCCAGTCAAGGGTCTGAGCTCCTCCATTCCACCCCCAGCTTTTCCGCAGGGGAGAAGCCCGGCTTCCTGCCCCCTCGGGACCTCCCCAAGCACACCCCTCTCATCTCCAAGAGCCAGTCCCTGCGCAGCGTTCATGGCTCAGGAACTTGGGCCCGGCAGCGGCCAGATGAGGAGCGGCGGCCCCCACGGCTGCCCCGGCCGGTGCAGCGCACGCAGAGCGTACCGGCTGGCCGCCCGGCTCGCCGCTGCCCTTCTGCAGGACCTCGGCCGCGACCCAAAGGCTCCCTACGCACCGGCCCCAAGCCCCGCGGCCGGCCCTGGACCGGGGCCTCGGCCTCGCTGCCTCGGAAGCCGTCAGTACCCTGGCAGCGCCAGCTGGACCAGCCGCGAGACACAGACCAGGCGCTGAGCACGCACCGACCCGTGGGCAAGGTGAGGTCCGGCCTAGGTCCACGCCTGGACGGGAGAGACGAGACGGGAGGCCAGGCAGGTCTGGGTTCAGTTATGAGCGCCCTACGTTGTGTTACCCCGGGCCTAGTCCAACCCTCTCTGCGCTTCGATTTCCTCCTCTGTACAAGCCAGCGATGTTCCCCAAGAGGCAGGGCAGCGAGGAGGCAGAGCACAAGGAACAGGAAGGTCAGGGTCTTCCGGGAGAAGAAGGGGTGGAACGGCGGGTCAGGATGCAGTGGCTCCCACCCCTACAGCTGGCAGAGCTGCAGTGCGAGGTGGCCACCCTGCGCGAGGAACAGAAGATGCTGTCCGGCCTCGTGGAGTCGCTGGGCACCCACATCCGGGCCCTGACGGAGCAGCAGCAGCAGCTTCGCGGCCAGCTGCAAGACCTGGACTCCAGGCTCGGGGGAAGGTGAGCCCTGCGTTTCCATCAGCTCCGCCCTACGTGGACCCGTTAGACGTAATCAGATCGTCCAGAACCCACTGTCGTTCTGGTCCTGCCTCTCAATCAGTCCCACTCAAATTCACCAAGCACGGTCACGCCCCCTAGGCCAGCCCCGCCCCAACACACCTAAGACCCACCTCTTGGTCAGCTCTGCCCGCCCCTAGGTGAGCCCGCCCCCCAAGTCGCCGGCTGGTCGTCTCATCAGGCCCCACCCCTCAGTCAGGCCCTCTCAAACAGGTTGGGCCAGGCTCTCAGTCTGGGCACGCCCCTATCCCGGTCACCACCCGGCCCAGGACGGGCCTAGCCCCGCCTCCAAAGGTTTCGCTGGTCCTTTCGTCCTAGGCGTTCCAGGCTCTGATGGCCTCTTCAAGTTTACCTAGGCCCCGCCCTCTGGTCTGGGCAGACCCCTCCTCCAACTCTAAGCCCCGCCCAGGATCCCTAACTCTCCAATCAGGGGCTGGAGGGGAGTTCCCCAACTTCTGAGCTCCCCCCCACTTACCCCCGAATTCCACAGGACCTCGCATTTGGATCCAGAGCGCGACCCTCCAAGCGGTGAGGCCCACAAGCTGAAAACTCTGGTGAGAGCCCCTGTCTGAACCCTGGGGCAGGTCTGGGCGGCGAGGAAGCAAGGGTTGGGGTACAACTCTCCCCTGGCTCTGAGCCCACTGCCGCTGCCCTCCAGGAACGCCGCCTGGCTGAAATGGAGAGTTCTCTAGCCCAGCTGAGGGATGCCGTCCAGAGCCTGCAGCATCTTCCTAGGACGTCGGGGTCCAGGAGCCAGCCCCTGCCTCTCAAAGAACTCTGCGTTAACGGAGACACCACCTGAGCTGCCCACTCCACCCCACGTGGTCTGGGAGCAAAAAGATACTGTTTTAGGGGCCCTGCCTCAGCCCTACATGGCCGACAGGGTGGAGTGGAGCTGTAGATGGCAACCAGCCTGGCACTGTGTGGTTGCCCAGTAAAATCTTGATTTCCGTAAAATTGATGGTTTCTTTGTCCCTAAGTGTTGCCAATCAGAAAGCACTCTCCCCAATCCTCCCCTAATTGGAGGGCTCACAAAGGGGGAGATGTAAAGAGCTTCTCACCAGTTGTGTGACTTCAGACCTTCACTCTCTCAGAGCCTCATTGTCCTCATCTGTAAATTGGATCTAAAGGTCCTTACACAGTTAAAAAAAAAAAAAAAAAAAGACCTGTAGTTTAAAGTATTCAAAAAAAAGGTATTCATCATTTATTAGGCCCAACACCTACTTCTCAATGAAGCCCAGATCCCACCTCCACCAACCCCCAAGCCCCGGGTGAGGGCATCTTCTAGGGCCCCTAATCCCATACTAGCTCCCTCATGGCAGGGAGAGCATGGGTCTGGGAAGCAGATGAAGGAAGGGGCGGGTAGATGTGGAGATAGTTGAGGTCTGTGGGTGTTGGTTGGATAACTGAGTGAACATTTGAATTATGGGTGAGGGGTAGGATGGATGAGAGGCAAATGAATAGGTTAGCATTTGCTAGATGTTTGTGCACTAGTAGGTGAGTAGTTAAGTAGTTGGTTGGCTGGGATGGGCATGTCTGCCTAGAAAAGGCCAGTATCGTACTAGGGAATAAATATTTGAATTTGAGTATGTACCACATTGTATGAACATTTGTTCAAGTGTCCTGAGACTCTTGAGCTGGGCAGTGTGGGGAAACAGTAATGAATTAGACACATAGGACTCCTGTCCTCAGGGAATTTACACTCTAGTGGAGGAGACAGACAAGTAAACATGCAATTGATGGATGGATGGGTATTTGGGTAGCTGGGTAGAAGGTTCTGTGTAGGGAAGAGTGGGGTTGTGTGGGTAAGTAGGTATTTACTTGGGTGGTGGATGGATGGACAGGTAGATGAGACATGGATGGGTGCGTTGAGTGGATGTTCAGATGGGTGGATGGGTGGGGGGATTTGGGAGAGTGGCTAGCTGGCTAATGGGATCACATTAGTTATATGATAGATGGATGAGTGGATGGGAGGTGGATGGGTGGTTTGGTTTGAGTGGGTATTTGGATGGATGGATGGATGGATGGATGTTGGAGAGGTGGTTAGTTGACGGGGTGGGTAGATGCGTTTGGTCAGTTGGGTGTGTGGATGAATGGGTGGGGAAATGAATGGGTTGTCAGACATGCGGATGGGTGGCTAGGAGAAGGCAACAGGCCTGTTTTTGGGTGTATGATAGGGTCGACCTGGAGGCTGCAATTCTGGGGGTTGAGCGGAGAAGGGGTCTTAGCAGTGGGAACCTAGGGCAGGTCTGGGGCATGGCGGTTTTGAGGTCCAGGGTGGGTAATGAGGGAGGAGGGCGTGAGCTTGCAGTTGGAAGGCAGCCGGCTGGGGACGGCCGGCTAAGGATGGGCTGGGGGGACCCTCAGTGATGCAGGAGTGACCCGCAGGGAACTTCTCTGCCCCCTGCCC